CATCTCTAGGATTTACAAGCTATTGCCAGTTAGAGACTTAGTTGGACCAATATTTTGACAAAACCAACAACTAATCAGGATTTTTTAAGTCCAGTTTCCTTTTTTGTACAGAACTCTAAATCTTAATGGAGAATATCATGTATTCTACAATCCAAACAAAATCGTATTCTGTTTTGTATTACTTGTAAGGCAAATATATTCCTAAACATAATCCTTCCTAACCTGGTAAGAACCAATTGTGCTTTGCTTGTGCTGGCTGGGCATTATAAGAATTGAAACCAAACTCATTTGGAAGGTAGCAGATCAGGGTAGGTTGCCTGATGTCTCAAAATTACTCTTGATTATCCTGTGAAATAGGTAAAGGAAATTGTAAATGAAATAGGTAAAGGAAATTGTGTTATGGGGAGCGGGGGGATTGTCTTCCTGATTTCAGTAGATACCATCAGGATAACAGTGGTGCAAATGAAATAACTGCTATGCAATATTATTGAAGTGAACTGCCCTTAGGCAGATTTCACCACGTGCAAAAGCAATACACCAAATAGGCTGTAGTTTGTATGATGTCTTTTGCACAATTCTTTAAAAAGGCAAGCTTCCTGTATCGGAGCAACACAAAGGGAATGAGCTGGCAGGCAAATAACACTTTATCAAACAATTTGTCTGGGAATATTTGCAGATTGAATTAGTTATATTAGGCTCCATAACATACCAAAATATTCAAATCCCTTGTTCATGATGCAAGATTCGGTGGCATTGATGGCTTGGATCTTATATTTCTCCAGCGGCCCCATAGGCAGTGCATTATAATCTTGTTGCCATTTGTCATAGCCATGGTAGCGCACCGACGCGCCACACCGAAGGAGCCACTCTGAAGCTGCTCTGTCTGGACCAACAGCCTGGATTCGTTCATGGTCAACTCTGGCAAGAAGGCATAACAATGAGTTCTTTCCACTACATGCAGTATCTTCAAATCAACATAAATGATGTAAAGGACCACAGATTATATTAGTGTTTTGCAAATTGGCAGTTTTAACATGCTGGTTGGAGAATTCCAAGAGTTCAAGTCCACACATCTAAAAGTTGCCAAGTGTGAGAAAACTGGTTTAAAGCTTCATTAAATACAGACAGTCCTCTATTTAAGACCATTCATTTAAAGATGGTTCAAAGTTATGACAGAAAAACGTGATTTATGACCTATCATCACACTTATGAGCATTACACAACCCTCACCCTCCCATGGTCACACTGCAGTTCAGGTTCCTAACAATTGGTTTGCATTTACAACCGGTTGTAATATCCTACGGTCATATGAATGTAATTTTTGACCTACCCAGCCAGTTTCTGATAAAAGACATCAACTGGAAAAGCTGAATTTGTTTAAGAACCATATGACTGCCATAAAAATGATTGTAAAATCAAGTCTGGTCATGACTTGCTAACAGAACTAACAGAAATTATTGTCCTAAGTGTGGTTGTAAGTTGAGGACTACAGTATGCATCTTTATTTAATGGACCGGCTTGAAATAAAAATTCTGGGGATATTTGATAATTAATGGGGATCATGGCAGACAAGGAATTTATTTATTTTTCTGATGTGATCCTGAAGAAACTATCTCCCCTATATAACATTTGTTAATATCCTCTATTGCTTAATGCTAAGAGCATTCAGATGAAATCCACTGTGCCCAAAAATAAGATTTCTCCCAATTAATACAATGCAAATTACAACTCTTTAGGGTTTTTAAACTAGTTTGACCAGTTCACTGGAATATTTATTTACTTATGTATTGCACTAATATTTCACCATAATCATAAAAAAACCTTAGTGGCTCACAAGAGATAGCAAAAATCATTATAAAATACAAAAACATATAACTTGAAACAGCGTCTGCTGTCAATTCCCCTTCAACCCTGTGGAAACGCTCCATTTTTAGCAGTTTCTGGAAGGTCCCTTAAGTTGGGCCAATCAAACTTCCCACAGGAGGCTGTTCCAAAAGGTTGGCCCATAGATAAAAACTGTAACTGGGCTTTGGCCCTCCTGACCTCTCAACCGGCTGCTTTTCTTAGCATGATTTTAGAAACTAGCTGTATTAGTTTAATGTTAGGGTCAGCCTTACATTTGTACACTTTTGTGAAAGAAACCTACTTAAAAAATAAATGTGGTGCGTTATTCATTAAGTAAATCATTGTGTAGGTCAGAGTGGAAAATAGCCTTGGGGGGAAAAGGTTGAAGTTTTCCTATTAATAGACTCCTCTCCCAGCCAAAAGAAAGTTGAGAAGAATACTGCAGATTATATGTAACTTATAAATCATTTCCACCAGTAAGTGTGGGATTCATTCACACAATAAAAAAGACATTTTAGTTTTTGGCTTAATATGCTATATGAATCCAGCCCTTGTGCTTTAAAAACCTTTGTTTCTGGATTAATGCCAGTGGTGGGATTCAAATTATTTTACTACCGGTTCTGTGGGCATGGCTTGGTGGACGTGGCAAGGGAAGGATACTGTAAAATCTCCAGTCAGAGGTGATATTTGCTGGTTCTCTGAACTACTCAAAATTTCCGCTACCGTTTCTCCAGAACTGGTCAGAACCTGCTGAATACCACCTCAGATTAATGCGTTATGAGAACCAAGTTAATTGTAGCCAAATCCAATTATAAATAAACCATGATTTACATATATATATAAACTCAATCTTAATTAGCTGTCTTGAGTGCCCTTTGGTGAAAAGGTAATATATTCAATAAAAATAAAAATAACATAGAAGAGATATACCTTGGAAGTGCATGGAGGCAATTTTCAAATAAATACACATTCATTTAAGGTGATACACACACACACACACACACACACACACACACACACTGTTTAAGCAAACCTTAAACCATGACTTGCCTATAGCTTATTGAATAAAGACAATTGCAAAAATAAGACACTGTTTGCAAAACACGATACCTGAGTTCATAAAACACAGTGGGTACAAATGATGCTCTGATTAAATTGCAACACCTGAGCCCCTTTGGCTGTGAATATTTTGGTTTAATCTTAAACTACAACCTCAATCAAGGTCAAGATGAAGTTCCTGCATTTCAAGGTAAGCAATGCTTGCCAGTCTGCCCTCAGGAGCCTCTTTTCTAGACTAGGAGTCCCTGCCCCTCACTTGACTTGTTCCAAAACAAAGCACCAGCCTTTAGCATTGAATGTCATTCTGGGTCCCATTAAGTTCTCAGGACATCAAAGGAAATATCTAGTGGAGCTACTATAGTAATGTTGTGAATGCACTCATCAAATGTATCCTAAACCAAAAAAAGTTGCTTAATTCTACTGTAACCAAACAGGAATATTTATTTCCACACTACCTTTCTGTGTAAACCCTCAAGGTGGTTGAAACTACTAAGAATATAAAGGCAACTGAAAACAAAAAAATTAAAATGGCTTTCATCGTGGCCCTGCTCATCTTCTAAAAAGCCCCTATATCAGGGGTGTCACGGCGATGTCACGTGACGTATCAGGACTCCCCCCCCTTTGTTAAACCCGGTGTGGGCGTGGCCTGTGTGTGACGCATCTGGCCCATGGGCCGGGAGTTTGACAGCCCTGCTCTATATGGTACTCCAACATTATTCAACTCAGCTCACATTAAGGAAGCAAAACATTTCACCCCCAGAGAGTTTATACATATTAAACGCTATTAGAAGATTGCAATCTCAAGTTTGGTACACAATCTGTGTATTCAGGGATTAAAAAGCCTCTGAGATTTCAAGTTACAAATCAAAGACTGGTCATCCAATCACTCAACCAAAAAGTTCCTGTACACAAAAAGTTATGCTAGGACTCCTGTTCCCACTTCCTAGGAAGCATCCTGCAGTCCTAAGGAGCAATCACTCTTATCATTTGTTTTCCCAAAGCATGCTGAGCAGTAGGATTCTGCAGCTTCAAAAATTTAAAAATGACAGGCTCCTTTATAGCAGAGAGATGTTGCACTTGCGTGAGGTTTAAAGTACTTGTATTGAATCATAACAAGTGCACATACCCCCAATTAATTTCAATATAGGAAAAACATCAAAGATTACTCGTACTACTATATATGAGATAGGATTACCAAGTGGATATGAGCTTACAACTCACATTTTTCTATCTGAGATACAAACAGCATCTACTTTCCCTTCCACAAATCTATATAAAAGCAAAATACTACTCACACATCATCACAAAATCTCCAGAACAGTAAAGCCTACAAACTTGAAACTTGGCACGTATGTTCCTCTTGGCTTCTAGGTGCTCACTAAGAAAGGATTTTTCAAAATGACCATCAGAGCATTAGTATTTTGTATATTATTATTAACACTCCGATGCTAAGGAATTCTACTCCCCCCTCCCCACCTGAAATGAAATCTGTTCCAAATGCAAAACATAAGCAGAGAAGTTTTAGTTTCACAGCAGCAACCATCTTTAGGACAGAACAGTTGAGCTAAGCCATGCCCAGGCTCCCTTGCTGTCTCCTTGCTCACATAGCAAATACTGTTTCAGTTTCCAGACAGCCCTCAAGTCTCTCGCACGCTGACAGGATGCTAGCCAGATGAATATCAATGGATGCTGGTTGGCAGAGGCAGAATTTCTTTTCTCCTTATTTTCCTCCCGCAAAACTAAGCCTGATCACATAGTTTCATAGTGAAGCATGGGTATTCAGCTAGTTTTCCATGAAACCAAAAGTCAGGAGCGCAGCTTTAGGGATTCAGAAGTCTTGGGGTTCGCAACCTTCCCTTAGAAAGTGCCTCCTATGGCAGCTGCCTTCCTTAACCTAATGGTCATGTCAACCTGGAAAATTGTTCATACTTTCATGAGGGAGCTGAGAAAATTCAAACCCCAGCTCACTCTTAAAGAGTGCTGCAGTTCTCAAGGCTGGTTCAGAAGGCAATCATATGGGCAACTAGTTTCGGCCGGCACTGTACAAACAACTTATTATGGAAACAACTTCATTTATCTTGCCTGCGTTCTTACTGATTGAACACTGCATTTAGCCATCCCCAGAAATGCCTCCGCAGACCACCAGGCGGCTCCCTCTTCAACCATTTTGTTTGGCGTATCAGCACTTCCGTCAACATCGTGTAACTTCTGAAAAAGATGGTAGTAATGACAGCTTAGTGGATTTCCAGAAATCAGTCACATTACTCCCATCAGTAACTTCTGACCCAGGATAACGAGCTACACATAGGTTGTATTTGCACAAAAAAGAGCATTGTGGTTCAGTGCAGTCCGTTAACCTAGCCATGATCTGGGCCCTATCTCTATTACAACATTGCGGCGAATTAGCAGTTCTCTCCGTAGTTGCAAACAAGGAAAGGGGCAAAGGCTGATGGGGGAAAAAGGCTCAGACGTTTGGGGCTCCTGGACTGTAGAAGGCAAAAGTCCCTTCCTCATTTCTCCTTCACTCCACCATTTAGACCTTCAGCCCCGCACGGCAATTGAACCACGATGGGAGAGTCTTCCCCAGCCCAGATCCCGGCTGATGGCCCTGGAATTAGGACCGCCTTGGCAAAGCGAGGAGGGCTCCTGCAAAGAGGATGGAAGGAGGTTGCAAGAGCATCCAACAACGGGATGAGATTGCAAGCTGGCAAAAAGGCCGCCCCGACCTTCCCTCCCCGCATGGGAAGCCATGGGAAGTGGGGAAACGCACCCCGGGCGGGCGCTGCGGTGCTTCTGGCGTCCGCCTCTGCGGGATTCCTTCAGTCGTAGCGGGCCCGCCCTGCGCGGCCTCCGATCTGCTTCTAACTGCCCCCTCCCCCCGCTCCACACGCACATACACACCCGCAGGGCCCGATCTGTAGTGGGCGGAGGAGGAGGAGGAGGAGTCGGGCAGACTGGCTCTTTCGCCCTCCCGCCAGAACTCGCAATGATCCCGGCGTGGATTCGGGCCGTTGGCGGGGCCTGGCGCCCTTGTTGGGCCGGGGGTCGGGCGATGCCCTCGCGGCCTCTCAGCGCCGACAACGGCCGACGGAGGAGGTGAGGCGGCTGTCGAGAGCTCCGCGGAGGCGCAGCTCGGGCGTAGGTCCTGGCCCGCGAGGCCCGTACTCTGTGCCACCACCCTCCCACTTCCCCAGGGCAGCAGCCTGCAGCACCGAGCGCGGGGGCTCTGCCGTCATAACTTTTACAGCCGCTGAAAGTCTGTGGAGATTCTCAGTCACCCAGGTCATGGTTGTGCTTTTTCAGTGCTTTTTCAGAAGGCAACTGGAGATTCTTGTTTTTTTTCCTTTGAAGACGTTTCACTTCTCATCCAAGAAGCTTCTTCAGCTCTGATAGGATAGTGGGGAATGGAAAGATTTATATTCCTTGCGGACAGCTGGTTATTGGGGTCGTTGAAACACTTAGGGATTTATCTGTGTCCTCAGGCTCACCTGAGTAGTGCTCCTGGTTCTGTAGACACTAATTGTTTTTTCCTCTAGAAATCCATTCCTACTCCCACACCTTCCAAAGGGTGTTCATCCCAAATTGTATAGCTAAAAGTCTGTAGCGATTCTCAGCCATCCAGGTTCATGAGCAGCCCCTGCAGACACTCAACAGAGGAAGTTCAAGTTTTCCTCTTGGGGGGGGGGAGGCCTCAAAGGGAAAGAGAAGCAGCACAATTTAAAGTAATGCCCCCAGCTTAAGTATCTCCCTTTATTGGAATCTGAGATGAAACTGCACCAGCTCTTAGACACCTCTGTTTCCATGCCAGGATCAACAATTTGCACAGTAAAGTACTACTAAATAAAAATTAAGAAATTGGCTGATTTTACAGATTACACTTAAACCCTAATGAGCTTTGTCTGGCTGACATGTGTAGCATGTTGGGTGGATCCTGCTATTTTAAGCCACAGGTTTAGCTTGCATGACCCCAGGCAGTTGTGATTATGCAGCAGACCATGATTATTTAATATGTGGCTTAATACGGGAATCATTCCTAATAACCATAAGCCATTATAGTTCATAATAAAAACAAAGTGGTAAAGTTGAATTTTTAAATTTTCTGGTTTTGCAAATGATCTTTTCAATTTTTTTGACAGTACCTTTGATGTGGTTGTCATTGGTGGTGGAATTGTGGGTCTAGCATCAGCCAGGGAGCTTAGCCTGCGCCATCCGTCTCTTGTTTTTGCAGTACTTGAAAAAGAAAAGGAATTAGGTATGATATCTGAAATTGATAAAATAGTTGACAGATTTCTGTATTGTTTCCACTGATATGTTTAACTTATAGGTACAGTATTCCTTTAGTATTAAATGTTTAGTGATTGCCTTGTTTAACCACAGTTTGCAGTTACGATGGTTCGTGACCAGTCCTTGGATTTACAATCTTCATAGGTCTAAAAAGCAAAGGAAAGCTGAAGTAAAAGCATAAGCACAAGTTATGGTTTCATTTAATGACTACTTAGCTTAATAACCAAGTTGCTGGTCTCAATTGTGGCTGCTGAATGTGAACTACCTCTATTTCAGGTAGATATACAATCCATTAAAAATCTTTTTGATGGGCCAATTTTACAACTCATTCGTCATAAGACAACAATAAAATTCCTACTAATGTTATAATTTCTTGGGGCCACTCAATGGAAAATCAATGATTTCTAGGATATGGATTTTGTTGCCTACGTAGTTTCTATAAGTTTCTGACAAATGGAAGCCCATCATATCTATATAGTTTCCTGTATATCATAGTTTTGCATAGGACATTCATAGCTGTCAGAAAAAAAATCAGGAACAGATCATGAAAATAAATGTCTATTTTTTATTTGCTTGATATTTTAGTTTGCGTTTCTTAAATCTTATTGCTTAACATAAATGTTTATATTTTGATATTATGCATGCTTATGTGGCTCTTATGCTTGTGTCTATTTTACCTTGCTATCTTTTCTAGAACTAAAAATGAAATTACATAAAATAATATTTATTTTAATAATATTTTGATTAACAAAATATTGTGTGTATTAGATGATCAATCAAACAATAGATGTAACTTTCTATTTAGCTCTCCATCAAAGTGGGCATAACAGTGGTGTTATTCACAGTGGAATCTACTATACACCTGGATCCCTAAAAGCTAAGTTGTGTGTAGAAGGAGCTGTTCTCTGCTATGAATATTGTGACCAAAAAAGAATCCCATATAAACAATGTGGCAAGGTACGGTAAGTGCCGAAATTTTTCCTGCTAATCTTATACAGCTTCAAATACAGTTGATTAAGTTACTTAATTTTCTTGGGGTGGCTTGTTCTAAATGATTCTAAAGAGAAGCAGACTTAATCATACTATAACTCTAATGCACTTGATTTATTATTATTATTATTCAAACAGGAGAATTGGCCCAAGAATCATATGATAAATACCCTATTCTTTCCTATTCTGATTTTTTTTCATTACTATTTTATAATCACTGAAACAGCGTTCCAGTCATTATATAATTTGTAGTCTTCAGAGTTACACAGAATGAAATGTTACTGATTAGTCTTTTCCATAATTGTTATATAGTAACATCAGAAACCAATATTTATATATGCTTGTATGTGTATATTTCTTATGAGTATGATTGTGTTAACTCCATTTCCCTTGTTCCCTTGCTTTATTGCTATTTTTACATTTGCAATCGCCGTATATATGAACACAATTCAGCAGATCTATCTTAGAATAATTGTGTCCTTTGAAAAAACAAAATTATATGTCAGTTGATTTTGAGGGTAGGGATGGGTGACTAATGTGACATCTCCCTAAAACTGCAGCTGTTTACAATCAAATCTAATGGGGAGCAATATGAGTGCTGTTTAAATTGGCAGAAAGAAAGTACAGATAGTTTTACTCAAAGGAAGGCATTCAAGATTATGCATGCTTATGTGATTACCTGAGTAACACTATGCTTTAAAAAGAAATTTCAACCATAACATACAGTACCAGGTTGTTTGCACTAGCTCATATACGGTAGCTACATTCTTCCAACTGTCCCCCAAATAAATTCTAAATTCAATGTCTGGTTTTTTGTACCTTTGAGTCAGTTTCTGACACTTGGCAAGTCCTTGCAGTTTTCTTGGCATGATTCTTTTTCATAAATGGTTTGCCACTGCCGCCTTCCCAGGGCTGAAGGAATGATGAGCCCCAGGTGACCCAGCTGGCTTCGTGCCTAAGGCTAGAACTAGATTTTTTTTTCAACATGGCCACGCAACTGGTAGATTCCTCAAATTTCATGGTGAGCTCTGATCCAAATTCTAACTAAGCCTCACCTTGCTTAGCTTTGAAGCCTAAACAAGCTAGTTGCTGCCACCTGCTGAGTCAACAAAGGTATTTAGTGGTGGCCTAATGGTGAACAAGATAAGATAAAACTGTTCTGTTTTCCCTAAGTGTTTGGAGTGGATACTGAAAAAACACTTGGTATAATGCAGATCGTTTTCTTTTGTGATAAGAGAAAAATCAGTCTAATACTTACATCATCCAGAGGAGGAGCAAGTATATAATACTTGTAGCCAGTTCAGCTTTAGCTGACAATTACTTTAAAGAGCAAGAGACTGACTTCTATGGTTATTTGATTCAAAGAAATCAAGAGTCAGTAGTTTTTTATCAAGAAAGAATATCAGCAAGGAAAGATCCCTCTGGCTAAATAAAGTTATAAAGCACAATTAATTTATATTGCAATCTTAATTGAAGTCTAATCAAATATTAATTCTGTTTCACACTTCACAGTGTGGTTATCTCGTGTTGTTCCTCCGTGGTATTTTTTTTGTTCTGTGGTTGCTCTAGTTTCTTATTTCCTTGGCAGCTGATTGTTGCAGTTGAACATGAAGAAATTCCAAGACTCAAGGCACTTTATGAAAGGGGGACACAGAATAATGTCCGGGGGCTGAAACTAATCTCTCCCAAAGAAATACAAGCCAAGGAACCCTATTGTCGGGTAAGCTGCTTCTAATCTTTTATCTAAGATTTATCTAATCTTTTCTGTGTAAATAACTTGTTAGATGGTACTGGGCAAAGTCTAAAATCACTATCTCTATGCAGTTTTAACCATAGTAGTGAATTCAATTAAAGTTTATATAGAAAATTAAATATAGGATTTCTGATTTCCAGGATCCTGCTTTCTCTTTGTGGAAGAGATGACAAGTACACTACTTGCATTTCCCAATTTTTCAATTTCCGACATCATTTTCCTCCTTGTCTCGAGAGAAATCTTTTGAGGTCTTTTCTGGCATTTTTTGTTCACTTTCACCTGAATAGATGGCTCAACTGTTGTTTATAGACTTGAAGAGTTTTGGCAGCCCATTGAACAGACCTGGAAGATAATACATATTCTCTCACATCTGCATGTTCTAACCTTAGTTTTTCACATTTGGGAATTACACATCACTAGAGTGCACCTCTTCTTCTTCAAAGTGGATCCTACGTTTTTTTGACTTACCAGGCCTGAGTATCTTCCATCCTGTTCCATGAAGCTGGGGTTGGAAGGTGGAAACCATGCACTGGCTTCTAGAGTTCCTCTTGCTTCTCTGGGTCCTAAGCTTTTGTTCCTTCTTGTGCTCTTTGGCATTCCTATCATTTCTCTGCCTCTGCTGAGTTGCTTTACCCATCATAGTAAACAAAATTTTACCTTCCCTCATGTCTGACGATACAGTATATAAACTACTAGCTAGATACCTGTGCTTCGCTACGAAACTATGTGATCGGGCTTCGTTTTGGGGGAGGAAAATAAGGAGAAAAAAATTCTGCCTCTGCCTACCAGCATCCATTGATATTCATCTGGCTAGCATCCTGTCAGTGTGCGAGAGACTTGAGGGCTGTTTGGAAACTGAAGCAGTATTTGCTATGTGAGCTAGAAGGAGATGAGGAGCCTGGGCATGGCTTAGCTCAACTGTTCTGTACTAAAGCTGGTTGCTGCTGTGAAACTGAAACTAAAACGGAAACTCCTCTCCTCTGCTTGTGTTTTGCATTTGGAACAGATTTCTTTTCAGGTGGGGAAGGGGAGTAGAATGCCTTAGCATCAGAATGTGTTAATAATAATATACAAAATACTAATGCTCTAATGGTCATTCTGAAAAATCTTTTCTTAGTGAGCACCCAGAAGCCAATGTGCCAAATTTCAAGTTTGTAGGCTTCACAGTTTTAGAGATTTTGTGAGGATGTGTGAGTGGTATTTCGCTTTTATATATATAGATTCATTCCTTTATGTTCTCTTCTAATGACACAAGCTTCCACTTCCAGCAGGCATGGTTTGAGTTTTCTGTTAGAATGACAAACCTTCACACCTTACAGATCACCATGAAGTTTTCTTCACTGTTCATGTTGCTTGGAGTTTCTCATGTAAAACTAACATGCTCATTTATTTTGGTTATATGTATCCAGGTATTATTTCTCTGGAAGAGCTCTAGCTGAGGCCATATTCTCTTCCCAGTCAGGTCTGTGGCTGTTCTGGAGTCAGTAACTCATAGTAGTTTTAATCAAGCCCCAGCATGTCCTTAACTTTTACCTCAAAAAAGAAAAGCAGGTCCGCTCTTCAAAGTCTCCAACCACCATACCCAGTCAAAAACAAGAGTCCATCTTCTTTTCTTCTTTGTCTGTATCTTCTCCTTTGGTATTCTAGGCAAAATCCTCCAGTTTGCTCTCCCAGACTGCAAATGCCTACTAATCAATGCTTGATTTCCAAAAATAAGCGTCAATCCATACATGTCACTCTTCAGTATTTTACCTCATCAACTATCTTTACTGATTGTTGGTTACAAAGATAGGAATGGTATAGATACTTGCACTGGGGATGTCAGATGGTCCTGTTCTAAAGTTTTCTTGAACAACCCATTTTGGCAAACATTAGTCAAGTGCCACTTTCATGTGCTTTTAAATTGTCCTGTCATTCCTTGCCAATAAGCAGCACAATCTGAGTAAGCACCTAGACCTAATAAGCATGTAGGCTGCCTTGCTGAAAGTTGCATTGATTCAAATGGCCCCTTTGTGTCTTCTTTGTTCTTTCAATATTGATCCTGTGAACAGATGTGTTGTCCCTGCGTCCACCTTTTCAGGGGTTGATGGCTCTGGATTCCCCATACACCGGCATTGTGAACTACAGGCAGGTGGCCCTAGCCTATGCTGAAGATTTTCAGACAGCTGGAGGTACTATATTGACAGAGTTTGAGGTGGAACACATGGATATGGCAAAGGAAAGTGCTGAAGGAAGTAAAGAAGGTAATTTGTAATAAATCATTTGTTTCTGACACCTCTATAGTTATACACTTCCCCAATGTTCTTTGGAATTTTCCTCTCAGGATTCACTGTAATATGCAGACCTTGAGCTCAACATGTATTAATTTAGTTTAGTTTACTTGATTGTCATTTCACCTTGTATAATGAAATTAAATACCATCTTCGGTGTACATTATGACTATGAAAATAAACACAAACACACATCCTTCACATTCTATACATTGAATTGAAAACCCCTGATATTGCATTAATATTGCACTATACAGTAGAATTCAATAGAGCTACTGCCCTGGGATAGAAGCCGTTTTTCAGCCTATTTGTCCTTGTTTTTATTATTCTGTACTGTCTGCCGGATGGTAATAGTTCAAAAAAAGGGTGCCCAGGATGACATGGATCTTGAAGGATGTTTTTGACTTTCTTAAGGCAGCAGGAGCTATAAATCTCTTCCAAAAGAATTAGAATTAGAATTAGAATTAGAATTAGAATAGAATAGAATAGAATAGAATAGAATAGAATAGAATAGAATAGAATACTTTATTGGCCAAGTGTGATTGGACACACAAGGAATTTGTCTTGGTGCAAATGCTCTTAGTGTACATAAAAGAAAAGATACATTTGTCAAGAGTCAAGAATCATCAAGTACAACACTTAATAATAGTCATAGGGTACAATAAGCAATTGAATCATACTAGGAAACAGTCAATATAAATCATAGGGATACAAGCAACAAGCAGAGAGGACAATTAAGATGGTGTTCCCAAGAGTGTGTCCACCAGCATTCCCCTTGCAGCCCCAAGGTACAATGCCTAAGGGACCTATTTCATCTCCTAAAACTCTTCAAAAAACAAACGTTGGTCCCTTCAGTTTTTAGAATACATCTTTTTTTATGTGCCATGCAAAATCCAGAGTAGCCTATAGGCGGACACAAATTTAAGCTACAACAAAGTTTATTTCATTTGACCTTAGTATGTACGAACCAGCCCAATATACCATGTGCAATCAACCAAGGTTAAAAAAAATTCCTGACTTCGCACAGTCCATGCCCGAAATGGCTTTCAGATAGAAGGTCCATATAGAGAGTGGGGAACTGGGGAGATTATTGCTTCCCGTTATTCAGTACTGCTTATAAGCACTATGTGCTTAGAGCTCGAAGCATTGTTAGAGACCCCACACACCCACTTCACAATCTGTTTCTGTTGCTCCCCCTCCGGGGGGAATTTTTGAAGTATTTCTAGCAGTACTACCAGATTCTGTAATGGTTTTGTTCCCTATGCCATCTGTCGCAGGATTAGTTTTTCTTGCCATGTACATGAATACATCCGAACTAGACTGTGTTGTCTCTCTCTCTCTGTCTCTCTGTGTGGGTGTGTCTATATGTGTCTATAGGTTTTTTTGTCATGCTTATGTAGTGTATATTGGAGGTATAGTGTATATATAGTGTATACAACTTTGAGAGCTGTAAGCAATGAAATTTCATTTTAATGTACACCAATTAGTATACATTTAAAGTGACAATAAAGTTATTCTAAGTCTAAGATGAGCCCACTTTCTCTTCAGAAACTATCATTTGGGCTTTCATTTTGCACAAGGGATAAAACAATTGCTCCATAACCCATTTAAATTCATCTTATTATTTGTAGGGATGAAATATCCAGTTGTTGTTAGAAATTCAAAGGTAAGATAATCATTCAATTCAATTTTTTAAATACATATATTTGACCTTCTGGTTTTTTTTTTAACTTACTAAACATAAAAAATGATTTTACCTTAATTGCTGCTTTAGTAAGTTAATACTTTAGTTATTTTTATATTATACTCAGTTTAGAATGCCAGTTTGTATATCAATTTAAATCACAGAGTTTTTGCAGCGATCAAATAGAAAGATGTAGAATATTATAGTAAAAATGACATCTACAGAGTGATGCATGTACGGAATTTATTATTAATTTGTTAGCAAAGCACCATCAGCATCTGCTTTTTATAATAACAAATACATTCCAAAGTCTTTAAACATATCTTTGATATCAAAAATGAAGGTTATTATACCTGTGTATGTTTTTTCCAGCCATCTTTAATACATCTTCTGAGTTCATCTCTAAGGAAATCTGCAAACTGAATTAATATACAAAATAGCATTCAAGATTGAGGGAAAAGAAGAGTGTAATCTTCACTGAAAGGATAGATATATACTAAAAATTATTTGATGGAGATTTTCCTTAGTCCTCTACATAGAAAAGCAAACATAATTCTTAATATCTGAAAATATTTGATAAAGATAATAACCACATTACGAAGCATTACAAAGACACGGTTCTAGCAGTTTTTACAAAAATATAAAGTTCTAACTGCGCCTATTCATTAATTGCTTAAGGCTTCTCATTTCCCAAGAAGCTCTGACTTCAAATGCAGGTAGTCCTGTCATGTGGAGTTGCTGGACTTCTGGCCTTTTCCATTAGCTAAGGCAGGGGTCCCCAAACTTAGCAACTTTTAAGACTTATGGAGTTGAAGTCCACAAGTCTTAAAGTTGCCAAGTTTGGAGATCTCTGGGCTAAGGTATCACTTGTTTGGCCAGACTAGCTTTCTCCAGAAGTTCTCTCTCTTCCTAAAAGACTTACCTTTGATTTGAGCTTCTATTTCAGAGTAAAAAGTTCATGTCCTGGTATGAGGTCAGTTCATACATAAGGAGCAGATTGAGCATAGAGGAAAAATCTTCAGAGGAATTGTTTGCTTTTGAAATTGTGTTAGGTATGCTATAGTTGAGGTAAACTTGTGCTGCTTTTGTCACAGGGGAAGGAAGTCCGATGCCGCCATCTTGTGTCCTGTGCAGGACTTTACTCGGACAGACTCTCCCAGATCAGTGGTTGTGACCCAGAGCCCCGCATTGTGCCTTTCCGGGGAGATTATTTGGTGCTGAAGCCAGAGAAGTGCTATTTAGTTAAAGGAAACATTTATCCGGTATATAATTTCTCACTACTTCCATTTATTGGGCAGAAGAAGAAAAGCCTTGAGGGGTTTAAGGCACTATAGGTATTGCAAAAAGTTATTTAAACTTTAATAGCCCTTAAACTTAATAGAAAGTGTCTCAATTCCATTTCCAAATCACTGCCATTTATTTTCCTTTACTCTGCCTTTCTTTTTAAAAAAAATCCTCTTATTTTGTTATGTGTAATTGAAATGGGCCATTTAGGCCTTGATTCCAACACCTTGATTCATGCAGGAATTCAAATTAAAGCATCTCTGGTAGGTGGCCATCTCACTTCTACTTAAAACATATCCAATGAAAAAGAGCCACTATTTCTTTGGTAAAATTGGCTCCATTTATTCTCTGTATCTCTTTACAGTTAAATGGGAACTTTTTAAAAAACTGTTTTATAGTTTGTACATATGCGATTCAGACATTCAGTACTTTTCTACGTCAAATGAATTTTTATTTAGGACTTGTTCTGTCTGTTTTGGTATGACAGGTACCTGATCCCCGTTTCCCCTTTCTGGGCATTCATTTTACCCCACGGATGGATGGTAATGTCTGGCTTGGGCCAAATGCAGTCCTTGCATTTAAACGAGAGGGCTACAAGTTTTATGACTTCAGCATTCAAGATTTTATAGATGCAGCTGCTTACAGGTAATCTTTTCCAGTTAGTATGCCTTCCCTTGTTTTTCTGTTACTTGAGTATTACCTGTGAGCATTGCAAGAAGACTTATACGGTTTGCGGTGGGAAATGTGGGAGAGGACTGAGAGTGTGGTTCAATTCAGGTTGTATGGTAAGTAATATTGTGTTTAGGAATGTTGGAAGAAAAAACAAATACAAATATTGACCCTATAAAAACCGATAGTTCCCTAGAACCATTTGTATCATCTGAAGAAACATAAGCAGCAGGAGAAAAACAAAAAAATGGATAAGATTGCTTATGTATTTAACAAAAATATAATTGTTTTACTAGATAAAAATGAACTAAAATCATATTTTTATTCAGAACAATTACAAAAACAGCATCACAAGAATGTAAAAATGTGGCATAAACATTTTAGGTAAGTCCTCTTAATTAGATATGTAAAGTAAAAACCAGCAGAATAATTAAAGGCTTAAATCAAGATGATGATATTAATCCCAGTGCAGTATTTCTTAGCTTCAGGCTACAGCACTAAAATGACTTTGTTACTACTGATCTAATTCCTTCAGTGTAATTAGGATGCGATTATTAGTTTGTACTTTTAGTTGTTTGCATCTAATCTATGAACACACAGAGACACATCCACATTTATTTACTATATTTCTATACTGATGTTTTCCAAGGTCTCCTTAGAGTTTATAGAATTATGGATGATGAGAGAATTTAACCTTCGCCAACCAGTTTGCAATAAACGGCTCCCTTTTTTTTCCTCCCAGTGGCTTATGGAAACTAGTGCTGAAGAATTTTTCATATGGGGTGGGTGAAATGTACAGAGCATGTTTTCTAAATGCCCAATTGAAGCAGCTGCAAAGAATCATCCCTGAAGTTACCATCAATGATATTCAGAGGTAAAACAAATTTAAAATTGCTGAGATAACACGAGTGGGTTTTCCCCCACCTTGGTTGAATATGTTTAAGAATTTTGAAGAAGCAACTCCATGATAAACAGGTCACACCAGAAAAAGCATTTGATGAAAACTAGTCCAACATAGCTGCTACTTTTCTTCTACTGCCATGAGGTTCAAAATTACGATACACATTTCCCTTCTGTTTCTTAGTCAAATACAGGTACTCTATGAGTTATAACTATTTGTTCAGCAACTGTTTGAAGTTAGGATGGCACAGAATGAGTGGTTCTTATTCCCTGAAGTTACGGCTGTTCAACTAACCCTGCAGTCATGTGATCAAAGTTTGGTTGCTTGGTATCCCACCTGCCCGTATGACCACAGGGATGACTCATTTCCCTCCTACTTACCTCCCCCTCTCCCCAGTCTGTGTCCTGGTGCCCTGCCCTCCACATTTCTTGCCACTCTGTGCTCCATCATTGTAAGAGAGAAACTGGCAGAACCGGGGAAGAAGTCAAATGAGGAATCAGTTTAGACTCTCTAGGCAGTCACAAGAGAACAAAGTCCAACCTCCCCCTTTGAATATTGTTGAAACTTACATAGCTGCAAACCATTAGTTGAGAAGATTCCTGTGCTTAGGCTTGAGCAGTAAATCAGCAAATTTGAACCCCTTCACATTTGAAATTGGTTCTTTGTGCCTGACAGTTTTCCCCAGTTGACTTTCACCATTTTCTTGCTCCTGCTGACCAAGCACACTGGTTTCTTTGCAAGACTTGTGGAAGAAAGCCTCACATGGCCGCAGCCACTTTGTGAAGGGTCCAGGCCAGGTATACTTTGTCAGCAGGGGGAGCAAAAAAATTGAGAAATACAGTTGGGGTAACGGAGTGTGGGCTGTAGGGCAGCAAAGGTGACTGGCAGGGCCACTCTGAGCTGTGGCTTCATATCTCTCTGAAGTCGGGAAACTGCAGTTCAGTGGAGTGGCTGAGGCTGCACACTGTGGCTGTAGCTTAGGGATTTCTTGCAGCCCAGAACCACAGTATGCCAAGGAACCCTTGAGCCACAGTATAGCAAGCAGTCCCACAAGACAGGGTGTAGGGCAGCTAAAAGGGCGCTAATAATGGGGATTAGGCAGTTGAAGGGAGTTGAAGAGGAGGCAATCCCTTACCTTGAAAGAACTGAGGTTGGAAGCTGGGAGGGACAAGCCAAGAATGCCCTGGGTCTGTGTCTTAATGACCAGATACAGAAATATACCTACATATGCCAGAGCCATTTTTTAAAAAGTATGCATCTAAACCACAAATTAGATTTTAAAGCAGGGGTGTCAAACTCAATTTCATTGAGGGCTGCATCAGGATTGTGTTTGACCTTGTGGAGGGCTGGTGGGCATGGCCAGCTCAGCGACACTCAAAGAGGCTCTGTTTTTGTCATAACGGCCTCCTGCAGCCTTCTGCCAGCAAAAACAGAGCCCGTAAAGGTACACAGCCCATCCAGGCTCTGATTTTGCTGGCAGAGGCATCGTAGGCCAGTCCTTCACTGTTTCCAGGGTGGGCCCACAAGCCAGTTCTAAGCACCCTGCAGGCTAGATCCAGCCCTCAGGCCTTGAGCTTGACACCCCTGTCCTAAAGTAATAAAACATATTGCTAACAGTGTGTGGCAATAAATCCTGGATTTGGCCATGTTGAGTTTGTTTGTAATTTAAACTAAGTGTGCACTTTGAAGCAGGATACATAATCTGTACTGTACAACTGGGCACAGCTGCTACAATCTTTCCAAAAGGTTGCTAAGCAGTAATTTTTAATATGATAAAGTGAGGATGTTAAATAAAAGATGCTGCAATGGTCATATGGAAAAAAAGATCATAATTCACTTTTTTTAGTGTCTTAATTTTGAACAGTCACTAAATGAATGGTTGTAAATTGAAGACTACCTGTATTAGGATTGAAATTTTATTTCAAAGATCCAGTTGCAACAATTATTGAATTTCCAGATCAATTCAATGCATCAAATCAAATAAATTGCTTGATTCAAACATTCTGCACACATGTATATTTTATTATTTAAATTGAATTGATCCTTTGAACTGAATCTTTGAATTAACCTGATTTATTAGTAATAACCTATTAAACTTGTAGATTTAATACATTTTGTCTAATCAAACTTGAATGATTCACAAACCCACAGTAATTATATATATTTTATTTTATTTATATTTTATGTTTCTGGACCACCCATCTCCCTCAAGAAAGGTCTTTATGTCTTTAATATGATGCAGTTATCAAAATCAGTTTTTGTCCTGACCCAATTTTCTTTTTTTAATCTGACACCATCCAATTTTTGGAGTACAGTCCTTTGTTTACAATTTAAATCCCAAATGCAAACCCTGAGCCCTTGTGCAACTGAATTTAAAGAAACAAACCTTGTAAGGGCTTCTCTTGATTAGCCTCTCAGTTGTTAGCTAAAATCAGGTGTGTTTAATCAATCATCTGTAAACAATCAGGATAAACTTATTTCTCTAAAAGTAACAAAATTGTACATGTAAATTTTGCCCACAAATGATTGCCAGAGTTATTGATGTCAGGGGATTCTTTTGTTTCATTTGTTTTACAAATGTGTTATTGGTCTATGAGTCACAAGTTTTATTCTGTTCTATAATTAACTATGACAATGCAGTAATTGTCTTGTCTCATGTTAAGTCACATTGGTGAGGGGGCAATTATCAAATTAAATATTGAATTTTTAATGCCTTTCTTTTTGCAGAGGACCTGCTGGGGTCAGAGCTCAAGCCTTGGACAGTGGTGGGAACTTGATTGATGATTTTGTGTTTGATAGTGGAACTGGAGACATTGCTGCTCGAATACTCCATGTCAGGAACGCCCCTTCACCTGCTGCCACCTCCTCCCTTGCCATTGCAAAAATGATAGCCAATGAGGTGGAGAAGAGATTCACATTGTGACTGGACAGTGAAGACTTGGGCCTCTTTGCTCCCCCTCCTCCTAGCTACTGTGACAGTCAAAGAAAAAAAGGGCTGCTTCCTGTTTGGAAACAGAGGATTAAAAAAAAGAATCACCTATTAGTTTGCCATACAAAACCATCAAACTTGACCACGATCAGTATCACAGTACTGAAACTATTTAAAAGGATAGGAAGATCCATTAACTGTTATATTAACTTTGTTAAAGGAAAATTATGTTTATATATTAGAACAATTAGCAAACCAGAATCTTCCTCCTTTTCCTTAAGAGGTCGCTTGTGTCTGAATAAAGTTTTTTCCAAATAGAGTAATAGGAAGACTAGACCAAGAGAGCCAGTTTTGCCTAGGTTTCTGTTTCTTATTTGCACAAAGAATCAATGATGGGCTTAGTATTTTAAAAAATACTTGAGCAAGCAAAAGATGTAGACTTTTCTTCAATCTTAGAATCATCTGAAAAAAGTGGAATCAATAAACTGTCCATTGATCATGGTATCAGTAGGAAAGAATATTTGTGCACTGATGATGTTACCTGATTGGGTAATGATATGAATGAATTTTTTATTGGCCAAGTGTGATTGGACACACAAGGAACTTGTCTTGGTGCAAATGCTCTCAGTGTACATAAAAAGAAAAGATACATTCGTCAAGAATCATAAGGTACGACACTTAATATAGTCATAGGGTACAAATAGGCAAACTATATATAACTGGTGTCATCTTTAGCAGAAGTTATGCTGTGAACTTCCAGAAAAAAGATATCAGTCAAGCATCTTTGGTCTCCAGTTTTTATTTTTAGCAAAGGAATGCCGACAAAAATACAAGCAACTGTTGGCCAGAAGTAAAGTATTGCAGGATAATGCAATACTTTACCCTTACCAAACTCTTTGAGGAAAAGGACCAGGTTGCAAATACTGCTAGTAAAACATGGCTTTTGTCTTTCCATGTAAATATTGCCTCTATGGTTTGTCTCAGGGTGTTTTTTCTTTTGCTTTCTCATTGCTAGAAATTAGGCTGTTCTCTAAATTGCTGGCTAATGAATCAGAGATCATTTCCTGATTTTATTTGCATACAGTCTTCCTTTTCTAGATGGCCCAAACATGTAAGTATTGTATGTGATTGAATTTGGAACATTCTTTTAAAATAAAAGTTAATGGAATATGATGAAATAAAAGCATTGATCCAAACCATAATTAGAAGTCATATAGAACTTTATATTTTAGTCAATAATAAAATATAAAAAGCAGTGCATAAATGTAGAGGTGATGAACAAGGAAATTTTAAATGAGTTTCTTTTTAACTGAGTTTTAGTGCACTGTACATTATAATGTACATTATTTTCTGTTCATCTTCAAATGGAATACTGGAAGTTCCAAATGTCCTTTTTCTGAAACACTATCATCTCCATACAGATAATATTTGATTTATGACAATTGAGCCCAAAATTTCCATTGCCAAGCAAGAGAGTTGTTAAATGAGTTTTGCCCTGTTTTAGGACCTTTCTTGCCAGAATTGTTAAGTGAATCACTGCAGTTAAGTTAGGAACATGGTTGTTAAGTGAACATTGGCTTTGCTTGTCAAAAGGCCGCAAAAAGTGATCACATGACCCAAGGATACTGCAACCATCATAAATACGAACCAGTTGCCAAGTGCCTGAATTTGGAACATGTGACACGGAGATGCTGCATTAGTGTCAAGTGTGGAAAAACTGTCCTATATCACGTTTTTCAGTTCCATTGTGACTTTGAACTGTCACTAAATGAACTGTTGTAAGCAATGGTGGGGTTCAAATTTTTTTACTAGCGGTTTTGTGGCCGTGGTTTAGTGGCCGTGGCTCAGTGGTCATGTGAGTGGGTGCGTGTGGCCAATTCCACATCACTCATCTTGAGGCGCCTTGCCTGGCTTCCGAGGTCTTCTGGTCTTCGTCTATTAATTTGTCTACTACTACAGTGTCTGCTTGATTATCTAATGCCTGCCTGTCCTTTTGGATCTACTCTATCATTCTCCACAATCTTCTGTGGAAACTCCATGATGGCTGGCTGGAGAATTCTGGGAGTTAGTCCATACATCTTTCAGCTGCAAGGCACTGATCTACCCCTTGGGTTCTACCTAGTGTGGTAAATCCCTGCTTCTATGGATCTGGTGTCTACTGCCTGTTCTTGTGCTGTTATGATCAGTGATCAGTGTTGCCTTTTACACACACACCACTTCAGGAGTAATTATAAAAATGATGATTTCTCACTCATTTCTTTACTCGTAGTAGAAACAAAATAAGCAGTCATAAATGTAACCTAAAGTTGGAACCCAAAGTCAGATATACACTAAATGTAGACTGATTTTTACACACCTTCCCAGCAAACAGAAAAATTTGAAGCTCCAGGTAAAGAGGAATCATTTTTGGATGACTAACCAGAGTTTGCATGTTGGAGATGCCTAAAGGAATGCTGAGACACTATTTTAAAGAACATTTGAAGGAAGGGTGCAGAATAGCCTTTGTCTGCCTGAGGCTACAGAGATATGGCACCAATCAAAACACTGTGAAGCAACTGATCAACACTGACAGGATAAACCACTAGTATATGAAAATAAGAGCAAATTCCACTCCCTTCTAGTACTGATGAAATTACCTAGTTTAGTAATGAAACATCTGCAAGAAAACCATCAAGCTCAGAGTACCAAGGACCCCACAATTCAACCCTGAGCTACAAATATTCTCTTCTATTGATACTTTTTGGTTAGAGGGACTCAGAGCCTGCCTTATATGAGATGGCACCTGGTGGATTTCATTCTAAATTTTGATACAATTTCTGTAAATAAAGAATATAGAATTATAATGGCTTGGTATTTGATCCTGCATACATAAAAAAAATACAAAGCTAATGGATAAACAAAAAACAAATTTGAAAAAAGAAAAGGCTCAGGAAAGAAAAAGTGAAAGTGTAAGAAAGCAAAAGAAAGAAAATTGAAAAAGAATGACTTCCAAATTTTTTGGTACAGATAGAAGTAAAAAAAAAATCAAACTTTAAAATTAACATTTGTCTACATTATTTTCATAATCCCATATTTAGTCATCTAAAAGCCCAGATCAACTTAATTTCAGTTTCTCACCAAAAGTCCAGTAATGGTTCATATCGCTTTAATCATTATTTGTTAAGGAAATCATAACTGATTTATTTAATCGCACCAAACTCTAAACCAGGAATGCAAAATCCTAAACTGCAGTGTAGATCCATGCTTCTCAACTTTGGCAATTTTAAGGTACATGGACTTCAATTCCCAGAATTCCCAAGGCAGCATGTAGTTCACCAAGACAAAAAAATGCTGATCAACAGAGATTTTTCCATTCCTCTTTTACTGGTTCTTACTTATAAGCAATCATCATGCAAAATCCTCACTTCTACCCCATCCAAGAACAAAGAATGCAAAATCCTCACTTCCACCCCATTCCAAAACACTCACCATTCCCTCACTAACCTGCTTTCCAGCTCCATTCTCCTGTGTTGCAGAGCAACAAAAGAAGACCATGTGACTACCAGTTTAAAAAAAGTTCAGTCAGACCTTCCAGTTTGGGGGGGTGGGGGGAGATCTTGCGAAGTTGTACGGTCTGACTGAACTGACTGATTAGCATCCCAACTGATAGCATCCCAGCTGATCTTTTGCCACCTCCCGGCTGATCACTGCAGCTCCCAGTCATGCAGCTTCCCCATCCTGAATGGCAACCCTGGTGGGCAGAGTGAGGTGAGTGGGTGGGGGTGGAGCCAGCCAGAGATGGTATTTGCTGGTTCTCTGAACTACTCAAAATTTCCGCTAGTTGCCAGAACTGGTCTAAACCAGCTGAATACCACCTCTGGTTGTAAGTCTAATCATTCCACTCCCATCCCAATTATTGAGAAGCTGTGTGTTATTAAACAAGAAAGTTTAACCTAAGAAAGCAAAATACCTGCTACACAGAAGTAGCAAATGTTCTAAAAACATTTTCATATAGTACAATTTTTTTCCAATAGGTTTTTGGCCTGGTCTTGATCCCATCAGACTGCAAAACAAATAAAAAATATAAGTTGTCAAAAGTCACATTTTATGGAGTTTAAAGAAAAAAATATCAATAATATTTCAGTAGTGGAATTCTTAACGAGATAGTAATTTTTAGTCTGGCAGGAACTGTGGAATCATCTGTTGGGATACTTTAATTAGGCTTTCTGCATTGAGCAGCCCTGAGCAGGCTTCTTTGATTTAGATTTGGATTTACATGAACAGAAAACTACTTTGCTTATTTGCAAAAACTAGTCATCTTATCTTGGTAGGCAGCAAATAGAAGTTTTCTACTGCCCATATAAAACCACATAAAAGGAGACAGGGAGAAGATATTCTGAATATGATGTTTGTCTCAGTGTAATTGGAGCAAATATTTGTTGACTGAGTCAACAGTTTTTACAAGCAAAATCTACAATTTACCACCAATATACATCTCAGATGGAAAAAAGCTTGTATTAAGTTTCAGAGACCTATATAATCACTGCTTCTTAAACCAAAGGGTGTATATGTGTTGTGTATTTATTGGGTATTTTTATTTTAAAACAAGCAGAAGTATTTCTACTGAGATTAGTTAAGAAATTTTGTGTACAAAAATCTGCACAACTTACTCATATACCCATGATTTTTCTTCATTTTGAAAACTAAAGGTAATGTTAGTGGATTAAATCATCTCATAAAATTCTTACCACAAAGACTACAAGGCTACATGACTTCCTAAATTTAGTGAAAAATAACTCTGAGAAAACCTGCACTTCCATTTATGCATGATGATTAGAGTTAATTATCAAACATACAAACTCTGGGTTATATATCACTATTCCATAGTAAACTTTGGGATGTTTCTCAAGTATTCCTCCATGATATGACAAATACATCTAGTCCAACATATCCTTTACGTGCAAGGCATGCTTCTATGCATTAATAGTAAAGTGGAGCAAGTCAAATATTCAACATTCAAGAGAATTTAGTGTAAGATGGCATTGAACTGTGCTTCTGTTCAAAATTTTGTCTGGATTCTGGATGTAGCTGCTGGAGAAGCAGCCCTTAATGAGTTTGGCCCATTACAAAAGGAATGTTATTTTTAAAAATATATTTGGGATGTGATCAGGGGCGGGATTCTACCAGTTCGGACAGGTTTGGGCAAACCGGATGTTAAATTTGCATCTGGTTCACTGAACCAGTATTTGAACCGACTGGCTGGGCCCTCTCACCCCACCCTGCCCCTCCCAGGAGTCTCCATGTGGCCCATTTTCAAAGCAGGTAAGTACAGAGACTCTGGGAGGGGAAAATGGAAACGGGGCTGTTTCTGGCTTCTGGAGGGCCTCCAGACCCTGGGGGTTTTGGTCCTACCAGAGGCCCAGGGGAAGCCTCTGGACCCTTAGGAAGGAGAAAAATGACCCTCACGGAGGTTCTGGTAGGCCATGCCCACCTGGCAACTGGGCAGCAAACTAGTTGCTGGATGTGATGGTTTTTTATTTTGGGATTGTTTCTTTTGCACTTGGCCCCTATCTAAAGCAAAAAGAACAGGGCAGTTTAATCTGTAATGTACATCAGCTTGTATCAAATCAATTACTGGATCCAAAGACAATGTTATTTAGAAAATTACACTGAATTAACTTTGGCCCAAAGCTTTATTTTGAGTAGTTCACATGCCATACATTGCCAAAATATATAGAAGATAATTGAAATCCCCTGGCTGTTGGTTCTGCCTGATGGTAACATTTGATGATTTCTCGATTTTCTTCAGTTGTCCTAGTTTTGCACTTTTGTCCCAGTCGCTTTACAGTTGAATGCCCTGGTTCCCCAGCAGTAGCAACTGAGCCCTATAGCCCATTTTTCGACAGATGTCCAGGAGCCATAGCATCTGATGCGGTTCTTATTGACCCAGGCAACAACCGATCAGGTATGGAATTTTGTTGATTTCTTCTCATCATTGGTGATGGTAGATGCCTGGGTTGGTTCATGATGATGAAGCCACTACCGATCTGAAAACTAGCAATCCCATAACCATCGGGACTGCATCCGATAGCCATCCAGGCCCAGCCAGTCAAAAAAAAAGAACTGGAAAAAAATCATGAAATATCGCAACCTGGCCATCGAAACTACACAATTATGGATGAAACATATAACAGTGATACCCATTGTCATTGGGATACTTG